ATTCAAGAAGCTACGAGCTCTGCTCCCTCTGGGCACCCAATGACAGAACACATGGGAATGGCACAGATTGAATGAGAGGAGGCTCAGACTAAGGATTAGGAAAAAAAATCATTACAATGAGGGTGGTCAAACACTGCAACAGACCTCCTAGAGAGGTGGTTGATGCCCTGTGATTGTCAGTGTTCAAGAGGTATTCGGATAGTGTCCTCAATGACTTTTGTTTAGCCCTGAAGTGCTCAGACACTTGGACTGGATGTTCTTTGAAGATCCCTTCCAACTGAACAATGCTATGCTATGCTAAGTTATGCTATGCTATTCTATATTAAAAGTATATGTTTTTTGCTCTCAAAGAAAACTTTGCTTCATACTAACCAAGCATTTGGAAATAAAATTGCACTTTATATATTGTAACCAAACAGATAACAATTGTCAAATTCTAATAAGCCTTCTTCTCAGCACAGAGAGGACGCACTGGGGGCTCCCAGAAGTAAACTTCTGTCCCAGCTTCTGCACTGAATGTTTACCCACAACAGACTGCAAACCTGGCATGGATTAAAAGCTGGCTCAGCAGCACTCTTTGTCCTGCTCAGAAAACAGCAGTGAAGAGTCGCACACGCAAGCCTGTTCAGGTTTCTATGTGCTGAGTAAGGACAGTGATCACAGGATGGTCATATGATGAAAGGAATTAAATAAGAACCCAGAGGATCTGTCTCTCTTTCTCTCTTTTGCTTTCTGCACACCTCTCCTTGTCTTCTTATGTGAAACAGTTCCTGAAGTTAACAAATATTTGTCCCTGACTGAACTACTACACGCAGTACAATTCTGAATTCTCTGAAAGGCTCTAGGCATTTCAAATTGGATGTTCAAAATTAGTAGAAAATTTTAATGATAATGTTCTCTTGCCTTTGTCCCCTTTTATAGTTTTTCTCCACTGTAAATAACAGTTTACAAACAGAAGTCCCACAAAATAAATGAACATTTGTAAAGTATGCAAATAATATAATCATAAATGCTATAATAGAGGTTTCTAGGAAATTAGCCATTCATGTAATTTTATAACTTGTATTGAGAACAGAGACTAAAATACACAGTAAGTAAGCTCTATCTATGCACTGACAAAACAAAGTACAGAATAACTATTCAGTGAGCAGCACTCATATTCAACCTATAGGAAGCAGTGGATGTAGCCATGTAATTAAAAGATATACTGGACCTTCCTGAAAATGGCTGACTTGATGCCATGAAAACAAGATGAAAACTACCATCTTCTTACTTCAGAATTCTTGATTTTTACATCTACAACTTTCTATAAATGTGATGCTAAGGCATTTAAAATGTATAATTTAGGCCACTGAAGCTTTTCTTTAATGGTTTTAGTTATTGTATTAGCTTTCTGCATTCCACAAGAAAGTACGATGTATTTGGTTGCACTATATATAACATAATCTATTTTTCTTTATCTTCATCTAAGACTTTTGCTCTAATTACAGTGATTCTTTATTCCTTGTCTCAGAAATCTTCTCCTCATAGCTTAGCACTATCGATCCAGTTAACATATCACAGTTATTGTGCTGGAGAGCCAGCTAACATATTTGTCATCATTGTTTCTTCAGTAATGGAGATTTCTGAGCAGGAATCATGGGTAAGAAAACAAACACTCCACGTTGCTGAGATTTAGTGGCATCATGAGATTTACCCTAATATGAGAGTGTAAATTCCAGTTGCAAACACTTAAGAAAAACGAGAAGTGGGATGCCCTTATGCCACAAAGTGCTGATCAAGGGTAGGATTATGCTATCAATTATAACATACGTAGTGCTTTTGAAAAACAATTTCATGTGACTGATTTCCTGCTATTTTTTGTTATACTTCCACACTCTTTGAATGATCTTGCCAAGTAGTCCTTCTCTACTGATGATCTGGCTATCAGGATTTTCCTTTTTAGTTGAGCATTCATAAAATTCAGAGTATGTTATGGACCTCTGCCTCTAGTTTTATTTTACTTCCAGTACTTGAGTGAAAAACAAATAATCCACTTTCATCTCAGACACAGCTAGTTATTAAAACAAATACAGCCCCTATAGATACAATGCTGTGGAGCTGATTTTGACTTTGCTCCTGTGCATATTAAATGTAGGTGAAGACAGAGAATAAAGGTGGGGAGCTGTTGAGCTCTACTCATAGCCAGAACTTCCACATCATTTTCTATGCTGGTCTTTAGTGTGACTAACCAAGAGTAGAGAGAGATCTAGCAAAATTTCCAAGGAGGCGAAGGATGACAGCTGTTAACTCAGAAGATTTTGGTCAGGTCTCAAATGGGAATGACACTCCTCTTTAATTATGAGCTTAGAGTTTTTGTTGGAGTGAATTTGTAAAGAGACTGCCCAAAGAAAGGGTATGCTGCCAAAAATTTTCTCCAATAAAATTTTTTTGACTTCAGTCATGGCTGGGGGGAGGGGGAATCTTTGGCTGTGGGCCCTCCCATGCAAAATCAAATGGTAGAATTAGGAGAGGTGAGTACTAGACTTGGAGAAAGGTGGCACTGTAGCCACTCAAAGAAGGTGGAGGCTCTAGAAATACGTGTCTTCTCAGGACATATTTGTCTTGCCCTCGCCAGTATCTTTGGCTAAGGCTTGGCTCACATCTTGCTTTAGAATTAGAAAGAAACAAATCCTAGAGCATTAGATGGAATGGGACAAGAAAAGGGGCTTGATAAGGCTTAGCTAGTAGCGAAGGCTGCAAACAGATTTGTTTCATGTATTCATTCAAATTATGACTGGATATTAAGAATTTAATAATGTATGGATTGCTACTTCAATGTGCTCCTGAAATGCCTCGTGTCAGTGGAGATACACAGATGTCAGAGAAGTTAAGTTGGTTAAGTAACCTGGGTAGAGGATGGTGCTTGATGTTTCAGTTTTATTTTTCCAAGAGTTCTATTTCAAAACTTTCATCTAAATTTGAGCTCTCAAAACCAAAGAGATTTACTAAGGATAGGATTTTGGTCTGACTTTCCCATTCCACAGAACAATATCTCATGGTGCGCAAATACTTTGATTTATTATATTCCTTAGAGTACTTTTTCGTCTGAAATGCATGCTTTTAGATAAAGTAAAATGTTAAGTCCGTTGAAGCATAAGCTCAGTCAATGAAAATAAGCCCTTACACCTTTTTAAAAGGAACATAAACTTCCATTTATAATGAAAATAGACTTTAAATTTGGAGTACATTTATTAAAAATGTGAATAGCAGATTAATTTATTTGCTTTGAGTTTAAAGGGTTATTTTATTCTTGCAGAACTGCTTTTGGTACTAGATTTTTATTATAAACTCAGTGACTCTGGACTAAGATGGAAGAAATCATCCCTCTTTACTCAAAAATGTTTCAATTCAAATTCTTTAAAATCATATTGTTTGCTAGGTTTTGGTTGCTATTCTTGAATATGTGTATTTAGAAATTTCAGAAAGATTCTAATTTCTGGTTTTTAGAGCACATAAATTTTCTTCAGGATTCGAATGGTGTCAAACTTGTACTCTGTCCTCTCAGTGCTTTGATGAGAATTTAAGTCAGGATTTGAACACTTATTGATTACTTAGTTTTCTAAGGTAAATTAATGAATTAATTAAATTAATTGAATTCAGGTGTTTACTAATTAAAATAGCTGCTAAAACATTCTAGCTTTTTAATTAGGTTATTTTCCTTGCCAACTATGTATCAAGTCCTATGTTATCCAAATCAACTCCAAGTCAGAAAGCAGAAATGAGGTCTAGAGTATCTGTGTTTCATATTCTTTTGTTAATAAAGCATACCTGCCATAGGTTAGCACCATCTGTTTTACCTCTTTTTATTTCTTCTTTATTCATACAAAAACATTTATCATTCCTCATGCTTGCTCAGCCAAGGTTTCATCCAATGTTCTGATTTATTTCCTTCATTTTTCTTGGTGATTGGAAGCATTACAGATACTAAGGTAATTTGTTGATGACTCCTCCTGTACTTTTCACTAGCAACTGACAAATCACGTAGCTGAGTAGGCAACTTATGAGTCATGTGATACACTGATTTATCTTAAAAGTTTGCATAATAGGTTTATCTCTGATTAATTTAAAAGGAGTTTGCTTGTATGTGGCATGATTTTGATAACTATATATCACCATTTACTTCAAATAAGGGGCAGAGCTAATCTTTGAAAGTACTTTGTATGCTCGTTGGATGAAAGTTGAGTGCCGTCCCAGTTGAAAATGTTGACTCATTCTTATTTCAATTAAATTTACACTCAGCACCATACAGCAAGAGAGCTAACTACTTTCCTGTTGCTCGTATAAAACTTTGGAAACTACAAGTCTTAGTGATAGAAAAGAAGTCTTGCACTTACTCTGAAAGGAGTAGAGAGGAATAATTTCCAGAGTATATAGATGCTCTGATGTTTGCAGTGACTTGAGAGTTTTTTTTGTTTGTTGAGCAGCAGCAGAGCTGAAAAACTACCAGTAATTCATCTCAGATATCAACACAGAAGTGGGATAGGGAAGGCCCTAGCGTAGTCGGCCACTAGGAACCTTACTGCATCTCTGCAGCTTTGGGGAAATTTGACTTTTAAAACATCAGGATTAAGTACTTACTTGCATCTCTACATTGTTCAAATGGCATCAGTTGACTTGGCATCGCTTTCTGTTATGATAGCATTGGAAATATTTCTTGGTGAATTTTTCTTTAGACAACGTCAGTCAGTCACATTTCAATTTTCTTTTTCTTGAAATCAGTAGTACTTTTCATCAGCTGCAGAATCCAGATTTTACTCAAATGCTTAAGCATTATTTTCTAACAATGAATTTCCATGTGGTTTATAGGCTTTCCTGTAATCTATTCTTCCACGCCATTGGAATTCTAATCAGCACACCACACATTATCTTCTAGTAAATACACAGCAAGTTCATAAAACCTAATTGTCTTTCTAGTATGTTTCGCTGAACATTAAAATTAATTGTTTTTATTTGTTAAGATGGTTTTTTGGACCAATCAAGCGAGCAGATGCTGAGAGGCAACTGTTGTATCCTGGAAACCGGGCAGGAGCCTTCCTAATCCGAGAAAGCGAAAGTCTAAAAGGCGAATACTCACTTTCAGGTATATTTTTGCTTTTCATTTTAACCTGTGTTTTAAAATTTTCTCAGCTCATTTGGACTTCTGCATTTTTGTTAAACAACGTACATGGAAATGAAATCAAAATTTGTGATGATATTTATTTCCCAGCAGATATACATAAAGGAAACATTGCAAGAGTCATTTGAGGTTTTACTAACTTTTCTTTTATAGAGCTTCTTTATTAATAAGTTCAGAACAAAAAATAAGGTGGTTAGTACTTCCAGCCTTCATTTGCCTTAAGTAATGTTTTCATAGTTTATGCCAAAAATGCCTTATTGCTCTACACCATGGTGCTGACTGGTATGCAAAATAAAAATTAAACATATTATAGAAAATATCCGGTGTTTAAGAAAATGGGATTTCTGTTGCCTCAGGCTCATATTTGCTTGTTTTCAGAGGCAAAATGATAGGAAGAATTTCAAAGTTGTACATCAGAATCAGTTATACTTGATTGAAAAGTTGTCTGTAAGCATTGGTAAAAAAGAGTTATGGTGATTTTTTTTTTTTCTTTTTTAATGTACATTCAGTCTGTTATTTTGATCCAAAAGTCTCAAATAAGAATACTATTATTTTATTTTCTTGCATAAATATACATACCATCTTTTTTTGTGTGTGTAATATATATTTGTCAGAATAGATGGAAATGATTATAATTGGTTCTTTTCTATGAACATTTTTTATCAAACCTGTCTTACCAGAGTGCATCAAGAGTGTAAAGATGTCCCTCAGACAACGAGTTTCTACACTCAAACCTTCTAATGTGCTTGACATGTTTAATCCTATAAGACAATAAAGAATCTTGATGTCCATGAATAAATTGTGGATGCCTCATCCTTATAGACCTTATATTCAAGGTCAGGCTCAACGGGATCCTGAGAATATCTAGTTGTAGGTGTCCTTGTTCATTGCAGGGGAGTTGGACTAGTTGGCCTTTAAAAATCCCTTCAACACAAATGATTTCATGATGATTCTATGATGAATTATGTCAGCAAAAGGAAAGGCCTCTTGTATAAGCAGATGCTTTCACGTTTACTCCTCTTTCACCTGGATGTTTCTGTTACTCACCTTCTAAATATAACTAAAAAATGCATTAAGCAACTTAGTGAACCTTTGCTCACTAAGTCTTTGTTCACAGTCTTGGTTTCTCTTTCTACATCACAAGGAAAGGGTGTATAGCTGCACTGTCTTGTGATAGTCTGGGAAAGTTGCTTTTTATTACAAAGACAAGGAAATACGTAGATTGAAATAGAGAATTTACAAAATAAATATGATATACTCTGCTCTGGGACAGTTACTTCCACATTTTTCAGCTGGACCTCAAGGAACATTATTTTTGCTAAGAAGCACTGACATTAAAAACTAACTTAAACAAGGAATTAGATTGCTCGCAAACTGTGACAGAACTGACTCGCTGTGTGCATACCCTTTTATCTAAAGATTGTATTATAGCCACAGGCTGTTCAAAATGCTTTCCCTCCATGTGCTTTTTCCTGTCTTACATGGTTTCAGCTTCCAGTAAACTGACTTTATCCATGGACTAGGCTAGACCTTTAACAATATGGTTAGGAAGGGAAGGATAGCTATGCTTGTTTTATCTGTTTAATTCTGGCACTTGAATACATGACACCTTAATAAATATTGGTGAAAATTCTTATGCTTGTGCATGCAGGGGATGGAAATGCATTTTTTTTTTTTTTTTAATTATTTCTACTCTACAACTGTAGCCTGCTAGAAAAGGTTCAAAATCTTAATACCTTAGCCTGCCTTCTCCAAGATGAAGGCAGCAGTACCTTACTTACAAAAGAAGTTGCACAGAGAAAAGTCAAAGAGAATGAAAATAGATATCAGTGAAGCATTTATGATGGGATAAGACCATCCTTTAATACTGCTGTTCATTTTTTTCCTGGAAAGATATTATAAGGTATTTGATTTTTATATTTAATTCAACTAAGTAAGCTTCTAGCAGACTTTTTTCAAGTTTCTGTGTAAACTTCTTTGGGAACGGATTTGATGATGCCTTATAACAGCAAGATATGAAACCATCAATTTGGATTTCTTCCATGCTGTTTTTTTAGATGAAAGAACAACTGAAGAGCACTGTATATGTGGAGGTGAGGCTCCAGCTACAGCAGGCAGCTCTCCTTTGAGCACACGTGTGGATTGTCCTCTGAGCATGTATGCAAGTGCCATCTCAGATTTATTAAATATTTCTACTCTTTTAGGAATAGAAAGAAAATAAACTCTGACACAGTCTAGTCTGTAGACAGTATTAATGAAGCAATTTACCACTGCTGCTAAACCTCTTAGCATTTTCCCAGGCTGGAATGTAATTTAGCCTCAACATGCTACTTCATCCCGAAGAAATTAAATATTATTTGCTGTTTACTGAACAGACTTGACTGAATGGTGCCTCATGTGTGTTGTGCTATTTGTTTGCTTCCATTGTAATGGTATACATAGTGGTTGACATATTATATGTCCATAATCTCATTACTTATATCTACTTTGAAAGATGTAGTCCATGATCTCCCAAAGTAAATGTTCAAGTGAACTGTACTGTAGGAAGAGGTAATTGGATGGAAAGTTGTTCAGATCCCTGAGATACTAAGAAATAAGCAATTTTTCTGAATCCCTCTTATTTATTCCATCAGAAGTTACCAAACCCTCAAACCTGACATGCCAAAACACTGTTTTCAGGAGGAACACAAGGAATAGGGATTCAGGACTATTTATTTTAGGAGGTCTTTGATAGCTCAGATATCTCTATGCTAGCTGTTATACTGACCAGGGAGAAATTACAACTTGGTATTTTGGAATATATCTCTAATATCTTCAGAATATATATATTTTTTAATCTCTGTCCAGTCTTACATTTAAATATAATAAATCTAAAACAGAAAAGAAATATAAAAGAAAGAGAGATTCTTACCCAAGCTTTCAAAAACTGATTTCCTGATATTCATGTCTGATATCACACTCATATGGGCAAAATATAAGAGATGTAACGTTAATAAGAGAAATAAATGGATATCTTTAGAAAACAAACAAACAAAACAGGAAAAAAAAAAACCCACAACAAATCAATGAAGCTTGCCTTTCATTAAAAGGAATATGTTCACTTCCAGCTTGCCTTAATGGGATAACTCATATTTTGTAAAAGATTTTAATTATAAACAACTATTTAAACTAATAACAAAACGTGATGTTCAGAAAACTTTTTCAGAGCTGTGAATAGTTAAATGGAAAACACATCAAACTAGATCATGCACTGTGTTGCTATCATTTTAAAGTGTTTGACATTTTAAAAATAGGTTTTCCTATTTTAAAAATGCACATGTTATAGACAGATTTTTATGTTGATGACTCCAGCATCTGCTGTGAAATATATTAACTTTTAAACATGTTGGTGCCATCTCATACATTGCCTCTTTTTAATTAAAAGCCATAATTTAGATGTGCTCAGCTTAATTGAGTGTCATTGCCAATGATAGCAGGAGGCTCTCTATTTCATCCCTTACTGAATAATGGTATCTGATGGCATTAAATGACAATGCATGTTTTTCTTCTTGCTCCTATAAAAAGAGATTGCGTGATTTCCACTAGTCCAGATTGCCTTTAGGCCTAGGGAAAACAAAACAAAACAAAACCATAATAATTTAAGGAAGTAAACTGATTGGAGTGAGAAAACCATGGCTGTAGCAGGAAAATGCTCTTGGAATACCCACTGTACCATCTCTGTGCTGGTGGGAGTGATCCAAGCAGCTACTTTTCTCCCAGCTTCACCTGGGTCACCTGGCCATGGTCCTGCTGTTAGAACTCCTCCTACTTCTGGGGAAGGATAGGAGAGAATTAAGGTCTGTGGTCCCCAGGCTGGTTCAGTTCCCACTCTCCCTTCCTGCTGGTTACTTTGCACTGTGAGTGGTGAGGGAGAACTGCTGGGGTGCTAGCAGTATGATGTCTTAGTGTCTCCATTACTCATTTGGTCAGGATATGGACTTCACTGATGCCAACATAAGATTTACTACTGCTGCCTTGGGCAACAAATTATTTTATTAACTTCCTTGGGGTTGCAAAATGTATTTCTCCATGGCCTAAACTGACGTAGAAGGGAAGGAGGGAGAGGAGAATGTTTTTGTTAAGCCAAAACCATGAAGAAATCTAAGGAGAGCCATAATTACATCAGAAAGGGCAAGGAATTAGATGATAAATTCACTGCAGTCTTCAAACCTAGTTGCTGTCATGCTGTGTGAAGCTGAAGTCACAGTCTCATCCTGTCTGGCTTGTGTTTAAGGAAGACTGAAAGAATTAAGGGGTTATGGCTGCCTCTTCCCAGAATTCCACATGCTTTCTATCTTCTGTGTGCTGAGAAGCTGCGGTATGTTGCAGCTCTGCCAATGGGGTATGCAGGACTCACAGAGCCAGCTTCAGCCCTGGGATGTCAATGAACAATTCCCTCTCAAGCACTGCCTTTCCCTCAGCTGCTTATCACAGGTAAAGACTGTGTCAGCCCAGAAATTTTCTCTGAATTATCCACACACATCCCTACTTCATCCAGAAGAAATAAAAACTATGAAATTACCATAATCCTGCAATGTTACAAGAATGTGAAGACAATCAAGTATTATACAGTAGGCTAACTTATTATTTTCCTTGACAGCCTTAAGAAATTTTCTCTTTGGCCATTTCTAAACGTTATGGTTATACTACTGTTTCTTATTATTTCCTTGTTCAGATCACACTCCTTGCTTGAGGTAAAAAGGTTAGACCTAATGGTTGGCAAACACTATTTTATTTCAATTTGATATGAAGAGCACACTTTGGCAAGTTATGATTTGATATCACCTTGAGGAATACAATCTGAATAGTAGCAAAGTATCACTAACCATGATAAAGCATTTGGTATCTACAAAATCCAGTATAAACAGGTTCCTGTTCAGTAACCATTACTCATAGACTTAGAAAACATAAAGTCAGAAGTTTGCACTGGTGTGGTCTGACCTCTATATGGGCAACCATAAAGTTTCAGGCAAATGTCCTTTAAAAAAGTAGAGCACATGTTTCAAACCAACTTTTACATTAATATTAGATGCTTTGCAAGTAACAAATATAATACTTCTAATGAATAAAACAGATAGACAAACTACATACTATCACCTTATGCTAAGACAGGATTAACACAGTCATCCTGCTGGCTTTTTTGTCCAGTGAATCACAAAGAGCAATTCATTTGGACAGTTTAATTTTACTTTAAATTTTGAAAAATTCAATGCATTTTCAATCTGCTGTTACTGAATTTCCTTTAGCACAATTTTCAAATCGTACATTACAAAAATGTGTTTACATTTTATAGTTGAGCAAATAGTAATTACACATTAAATTAAAAAAAAAAAAAAGGCCACCTGAAAATTCTGATTTTATTATCTTTATTTTCAGGAGCTGTATTTAAAAATGTTCTATTTTATGGTCCTTATGCAGAATTGTAAACTGGTAATCAATTTCTCTAAAAATATTACTTGTGGCAGATATAAAATCCCATAACATTTTTAACAGTTCCTAGATGCCCTCTGGTGGCCGGGCCTGACAACTGCAGAGTACAGTAGAAAAATGGTTATACATGACAGCAATTATGGAAGGAAGATTTTTTTTATTATTATTATTTAATGAACAGAATGGTGAGAGAAATATACTTTTTATCACCTTTGTTAATTAAAAGCAACCAGTAATATAAACCATCTGTTTCTATGTGCAATATGTAGCTGTGCACACTTTTACTGTTGCTAATGTGACTAAAAATTAAATGCTCAAATATAGAGGTAAATAGCAGAAGGCCTTTTCCGTGTACTTTCCTTTTCTTTTCAGTTTTGTCTTGTGTGAAGGCCCTGAGAAGGGGAAGATAATGGTAATATCCTGTACCAATGGGTGTGGAAGGAGCCACCCAATCTATGGAAAAAGAATAGCATTTGGTGATGAGGACTAGCATGGCAAATGAAATGCCCTGCTTCCCCTTAGATCTCTCTTCTACTCATCATAGAAAAGTACCATGTTGCTTCATGAATGGAAGGGAATCACAAGCCTCTGATTTCTCCTCTCTTGTTCTTACCTATTTCTGACTTTTTCCAAAATGGGATGTTTTCTTTTAGTCCTACTCCAATGTTTCTCCTCTTTGCTATTCCCCAAAGTAAGTAGATATTTTCTGTTTTGTCTTGCTTCTTAATCTCATAACCCCTGCTCTAACTGGGCATCCTGTGTCCCGTAACAAGCTCTAACAGGTGGAAAAAAAGAAGAGAATAAAACCCCATCCACACTTTCAAATACTTGTTTCTAACTTAATGTCATTGCACTTTGGTAATTCCTTAAGCTCAAAACATTTTTCCACCTGAAACTCCCCCCATCAGGAAACCTTCTACTCATGCATGTCTCTTCTGCTTGGGATGCAAAAAATATATCCTAGTGCTTAAACATCTTTGCTGTTAAATTATGCATTATATAGTCAGAATTTCTCTTTAGCTATGTTCATTTTAGAGCACTGTCAATATTAGAGCCAAAAGCTGTGGCACTGATAGGAGCTAAACCAACTATCCTAACCAAGGCTTGAGTTGAGTGCATTTTTCTCCATCTCTTGTCTACTGCTGCTCCTCCATCTCACCAGTCCCACCCTACAGAAACATAGCTCTCCTTTTGATATTATCAACATCTGCTGCGATAATCACAGAAAAGGACACTGAGCATCAGGAGATGCACCTAAATAAGATAAAGACCTTTTTATTTACAGAAGCGTAGGTGAGAATAAACCACATTTCAGTGGTAAGTATAGTTATCAGCTACTCAAAGCAGAGCATTACTGGTTTTATTTTCACACGTTCCAAGCACACACAAAACTCAATAAAACCCATGGAAAATATGAGTGCTTCCTAGAAAATCATGGAGCACAGTTTGTATATTTGTTTTCCTCTAAAAATGCCTGCTGATCCAGAAGATGCTATTTGGAATGCTAATACTGATAAATGAAATATTAAATATTGATCAAATTATTACTTTGAATTAGATTCTCTTGGAAGATTTGGTATTCTAAAAGGTGGAAAACATGAACTGCCTCAATAATTATGTCCTTAAATATTTTTGTGTCACATCATAGGGTGATAACAAGAATCTCCAAATCTGAATAGTTAAAGACTGGAAGACTGGATATGCTAAGCTATCTAAATAGTGATCTGTGGTTTGGAAAAAAATTTGTACCGTTGATATCTTTGAAACGAAAATAATTTGTTTTAATTTTTTCAATACAGCCTCTAGGAACTAATGCCCCTTTTGCTGATTTGTTCTGCTGCTTTAATACCTGTAAAATTAATATATTTAAATCTTCTTAGTGTTCGATGGTGAATCAGTGAAGCACTACAGGATCAGAAGACTGGATGGAGGAGGTTTTTTCTTAAGTAAATTGAAAACTTTTAAAACTCTGAATGAGTTTGTTGACCATTACAGTAAGAACAGTGATGGCCTCTGTGTGATGCTTGGAAAGCCGTGTCCGAAGGTAAGAGTGAATATGTGTGCACATATTTTCATAAGCTAAGTCTTCAGTATCATTTAGAAAGTGCCAGTCCCATATCTACTTGCATAATTAGAATGGTGATGATCTTCTTATTTTCAGAAAGTTTAGATACCAACACACTTTCATTCTTGAAGCTGAAGTGTTAATTTTGAACAGGTTAGAGGAGAAAATATGCCAAATCAATTTCTTAACACCATTTTTAATAGATGTATATGGTGATAAAATCTTCAGATTCATAACTCCTGCTGTCTATAACTAATTATGGAGGCAAAACAACAAGGTTCAGGTAAGCAAGACATGACTGTTCAAAAAGCTTGTTAGGGGATGACTTCTAATTTTTACTGTCAATGTCAGGGTATTTTCTATAGAGTATTCCTTATTTCTGGCTATAAACACCAAATTTATTTTATGTTCTCAACTTACTTCACATGTGCTGTCAGGAAACACTCATGTCTGTTTCAGCTTAACATTGTAAAAAAAAAAATAATACATTCTTTTGAAAAAAAAAAAAGGGGGGGGGGAAATCTAAATATATTATTTTCTTTTACCAGGTACAAATTCCTACTACTTTTGATTTGTCATATAAAACTGTTGATCAGTGGGAGATAGACAGAAAATCTCTGAAATTCTTGAAAAAGTTAGGATCTGGTCAGTTTGGTGAGGTATGGGAAGGACTGTGGAATAATACCACCCCAGTGGCAATCAAAACATTAAAACCAGGTATGTGAATTGTTCTTAAATGTTAATAATGTGTAATGTTGCCAACTTGCTTCTTTATTTTTTCCACTATGACTAAAAATACATCCTATCCCTATGTGTAGCTGTTTTAAAATCACTGTAATTAAACATGTTTTGACACACAACATTAATATCCAATATTTGAATATAATATAACCTTGCAATTAAGACAACTTTGAACATTTTTTCTTCATTATTTTTCATTACCTTTAAGTAATCTATGCATTTTAAATAGACAACGTAAAACATCTGCCAGCAGATGGCAAGAATCCCATAGAGAAGAAGGTAGCGTGAGTGGCATTTATATTTTTTTAAAGATAACATTAAAATTTGTTGTTAACAAACAGAAAAAGCTCATTTAATGATTCAGTTTCAGGAAGCAAAATAGACTGGGACCTTTGGTTCAGAAGAACAACTAGATATTCTTGAGTCCTACTTGACTAGAATGATTTCCTGAAAAGGGAAGAATCTAAAAGTGCATTTTAGGACTATCTTATATTACAATAATGTTGATTATTTTTGGACTTGCAAATTGAAAGCATTTAAGAACCTTTTCTGTTAAAGCAGAAAAAATGTTCAGATTGAAGTCCTTCTATAGTTAATGTAAAAAAAAAAAAAAAATCAGCATACATTTTCAGTGAGCTGATCATCTCCATACTGATCTAGTGAACACAGAAATTGTTTTGAAATCTCTGTCCATTTCCCTGTTCTAAGACATTCGCAGTGCTTAGCCATTTTGTGGCAGGGATCCATCTGAAACAAGAAGTCTGAACCCAGACTCTTTCTCCTTGAATCTACAAACAGAATTCTTCAAGTAGCTCAGATATTTCACGTCCCATTTTTTTTAAGACCATCTTCACTGGGCCTTTTCTATGTGCTAACCAATTTTTTTTCTAGGTATGATGCCAAAAGAGAGAACAAATCCAGCTGTGTAAAGACAGGGAATTGGTTCATATTTCTTACATGCTAGCCATCTATTTAACAGCCCAGTATAATTTTTGCTTTTCTTCTCCAAACTAATTTCTTCATGTTAGTTTACTTTCTTTTAAAGATTTAATGAAACATATGGGTAAGTTTGTTTTATAGCAAAAGATGGAATGGTTCTTTCTAAAGCATGAAATCTTGTAAATAATATTTAAGGAAGGAAATTATCTATACTGGAATGAAGAATAAGGCTAATCTTAAGTTTTCTTCTACAGATTTTCTTCCATCTTCAAGAAAATGTGAGGCAATTAGCATTCTAGGAAAAGATTTGTTCTCATCAAGCAAAATAAGATTTTGCACAAATTGCAGTTCATACATTTCTACTTATTTTCTATGGAGAAAGTGCAGCTGACATTTATCTGGTATTGCATATCTCCACTTAATAACTCATTTCAAAACTCTACTTCATCTTCTCCTTCTGTATAATGGGAACAGTGCATATTTTCAGTTCTCTGTGAAACAAACTCTTGTTTTAAAAATGGACTCAATCAGAACTGAGAAGACTACCCAGAAATGCATGAAACTTGAATGGGACAGTAATACTAAGTTACAGTTGCAATTTTATTATTTTTTTCTCTTTTTTTTTTTTCTTTTTGCCATTTTATATTAAGTTGAAGACTGCTTTTAATACTCAACCTGAAGAAAAAGAAAAGAATTAAAAGATATCAAATTTTATGAAGCAGAGTTTAGTATGTTTAAAGCCAAACTGAACTTTGGAGAATCTATTTCTTTGTTAATCACTTCATTACCTGTTTCATGTCTTACTGATAAAGGATACAGAGAAGACATTATTCTAGAAAAATTCAAACTCACCAGAGATTATAAGATAATAAAAATGACATATTTGTTAGCTAAAAATTAAGATTTTACATCAGAATAAACATATTATTTACCAACTTGCTTACTCACAGTCTAATACATTAGAAATGAAGAAGCTCTTTGTGTTATGGTAGTTTAGATGGGTAAAATGACTTGATTAATCAGAGAGCATGCTGCACAGGAAAGCATTAAGGCAGGTTTTGAAGATCTCCAGTGAAGGAGACTCCACATGCGCTGTGGGCTACCTGTTCTATTGCTCTGTCAGCATCAGAAGTAGTTTTTTTCTCATATCCAGATGGAACTCTTTCTATTTCAATTTGTGCACATTGTACTGTGTTGCTAGGCACCACTGAAGAGTCTGGCACCATTCTTTTGACACACTTCCTTATACATTGGTAAGAGCCCTTCCTAGTCTTCTCCAGGCCAAACAGTCCCAGCTCTCCCAGCCTTTCCTCATATGAGGGATACTCCAGTTCTCTAACTATTTTCATGGGTCTTCACTGGACTTTCTCCAGCATGTCCATGTCTGTGGTACTGGGGAACCCAGAAATGGACAGAACACAACAGGTAGAGTCTCACCAGGGCTGAGTAGAGAGAGAGGATCACCTTTCTTGACCTGTTGATGACAGTATTCCTAATGCAGCTAGGATAGCTTTGGTCTTCTTGGCAATACGGACATATTGCTGGCTCATGGAAAGTAATACTCCTTCAGAGGAGAATTCCATGAGTATACTTTCAGATATCTACAAACACTCTTAGCAGTACAGTAACACAGAATGAAAGGCAGTATAAACTGCAAATTTTGCAGGTGCATGACTGAGGATCTAATTATTTCAAGCTTCAGCTGAAAAAATAAATAAATCAGCAGCAAAAATTTTTTTTTTTCTGTGTCCAGTGCACTATGGGGAACTACTTTTCCACAGTGAGTGAAGAACTGCATTTTATAAGCCAATGGCATCTTCCTTCATGCTTCCAGAAGCAATTTGCTCAAGTGTTTCAGCAGCACTCTGAACACACACAGTTCAGCTGGGACTAAGCTGGAAACAATAGATTTTGTAGGCTGCAATGACTAAAATTTATGGTTTCTAATCTAGAAGGAACAGAATTATAGATCTTTGATACCGTGGCTTTAAGAAAAAGTAGTAGTAATGTCATGCCAGCACTCTGGGATTTGGTTCATTCTGCTTTGGCTGTATCTGTGACATTTTAGCAGGGGGGGAAAAAAAAAAAAAAAGGGGGTGAATTTATGAATGAAAAAAAAAAATAAAATCAAAGAGAAAACAAGAATTCTTTAAGGAACATAATCGCAGACATCTGAGTTGCTGACCCGCAATCAAAGATGTGTAGAGATCAGAGATAAGAAAATGGTCTGAAAGACAGCAATTAATTTTTGTGTTCTTGGCTCTGCACAACACTGTCTTGCTACAGGCTCCTGATACGTCACTTCATGTTTTTGTTTTTATTTCCTCACTGAGACATTGTTTTTTTCTATTTAAGTGGAAAATGTTGCAGCAGGGATTTGCACTTTGTCCTATGCTGAGCATGATGGATTCTCTGGAATTTATTGCCTGGGCTTAGCTTGCTTCTCCAACTGTCAGCACATAAAGCAGGCATCTATCATCACTAGTTAATCATATCTGAGAAAGTTCCTTATGCCTGCTCAAGCTGACAGATGCATTTGTCATTATCATATTGTAAATCATCTCCCAAGTTTCTCTCTTTACATGGAAGCTTCCCAAGCAGAGTTTGTTTAGGAAGCATTCTCAAAATAGTTTTTGGGTTGGTAGTCTTATGAGAGGCTTTAGTAATATTCTCAGTTCTTTAGCATGTAATATATTTAATGCATATACAATGGAAAAAATTTTTACATGCAGGAAATTTTCTGTTTCCCTGAACAAAGATAATATTTTTTCTATTTACTTCAGTACATATCCTTACATTACTTTATAAGTTCACTTGTGTACGGTCGGAACACTGATTGAGGGTTGCTGGAAGCCTGTCTCCTCCTATTGTGTAAAGCTTACACTCAGTCTCTTTTTTTAATAAGAACTTGTAGTTTTAAATGTTATTTATTATATATAAACTTACTCAGAAGATCACAATAATGCTCAGTTTAACCTCTACAAAAGTTCATTGTTTATAAACATACAGAAGATAACATTGCTCTGAAGTACAAGGTTACTTTGAAGTCTCTTTTGAAGGTTTATCAGAAGTTGCAAATTCTGTCCAGAAGGGCTTATCAAATATTTAAGGACCACTTACATTTAGGCCAGTGGAAACTAGATAGAAATAACTGATCTTTAACTCATTTTCAAGTAATCAATGTCTATTTTATAATGTGAAGTTTCCTCAACTCTAGAACAAGTAATTAATACTGATACACCTGCTTTAAGTAGGCTTAAATTAGAGGAGATTTCTGGCAAAAAAAAAAACAAAACAAAAACAAACAACACATCAGAGAGTACATCAAATAAACACATGCTAACATTCAGTTCTTAGGAAGGACTTTGGTGTTTACTCATTCAAAAAAAGAATTATCTAATGCATATTTTCTTCAAGTAGTAATCAACCTACTCTCAAATTGGTGTCTTATAAAGAGACACATTAACTAGCTGCTTTTTGATCAAGTGGTTTCTACCTACAGTGCTTTGCTGTTCACTTTCTGTTTGCCAATTACAGGTGAAAATGGCTACTTCTTCGGAAACACAAACTCAACAACAACCTTTAAAAAAAAGTAATTTGAAACTCCATGTGGCTTTTTTATTTTATGTATTTCATTTACACAAGCATCCTCAAAGAAATGTAGTTTTCTTGTTGCTATTATGACAGGTTTAGTTTCTTTTTCTTTTTTTGTAGCTGGCACTCAAACCATTCATTAACATATGCTAAAGATATTAGCTAAGAAAAATGAAGGTTAAATACAGTCTTTAGAATATGCAGGAAATACTTACTGATCTGGTCACTTGTATATCATCATTACTGTTATTATTATGAATATTAACAAACAGGGTAAAAAGGATTTACTGTTATTCAACTAGCAGAATACTTCCCTCTTGATCACTTTATTGGAGGTTGACATATATGAAAAACATATTGATTGGTTTGAGTTTATAGGAAGAAGTTTATAATATGATTAAACTGAGAGATAACCTGTAGGTAAAATCTGACATTAGAAGCAAATCAGACTATTATTTTTTATGATGTGAAGAATCTCTTATAATGATCCACAAAGGGCAAGTGGTTTCATAGACTCCAAGTTGCCTTACTTTATTCTTTTTAGGATAAACACAGCAAATTTTAGCTTTGATGCTAAGTCACTGCTCAGGTTTATAAATGCCCTTAAACAATCAGAGTACCTCACACTTTTGTCAGAAATAGTAACAACCACACTGTATACCTCTCTTGAAAAATAAGCAGGAATATACTTATTGCATATTTGCACATTATACATACAGATGTAATAGAGTGATTTAAAAGTAACCTAACAAGATTCAAGATGACTGGATACACTTGATTATTTAATGTATAGAGTGTAAAGTTAAACACAGACACAGGAGGCCCTCCCTCTGAGTCATGAGGTTCAAAATGGACCCCTTACTTTCAGAACTCCTTCAAAAGTAGCAATAAGGACCTTAGACATAGCTAGATCTTCTCCTACGCCTAGACTTGATCAACAGTATTTTTTTAAGGAATTATTTGTGCATAATCTAAGATACGATCCTATCAAACTTAATAAAACACACTTTTAGTCACTTACTTGGGAACTGTATCATCAAGGCATCTTGATATCAGGACAAAAAAGGTCTCCACAGAGGTATAACCCTGCAATGCATTACTACTTAAGAGAAAGACTGTTGCACAGCCTACTGCTATGCTTCCTCATTATGGGGTAAGATGATTGACTCATAGGTTGCTTTTTAGGTGTGAGCTCAATTGTTTCTCAGCTGGTGAATCAGGTGTCTGCTATCAGTTTATTCAGCTCTCTTTCACTTGAGACAGATTTGTGGTTATTGTCAATACTGTTGCTTATTGTTTTCCTGTGCTAGTACAAACTTGAAGGAAGCTGAGGGAAGAAGAGAGGTATGGCAGGAGAAGCATGCTGTAACAACCACATAGCTTCTCTTTTGGCTTTAGGTTGGTTTCCATGACAGACTCATATAGTTTGAAAAGAGGAAGCACATGCATCACAGCATTAAAAGAAATGTCAAAGTAAGCCCAAGCCCTATAAAAAGAACTCTACATGGTTGATTTTTCTTTTTTTGTTGTTTGTTTGTTTTTACTGACTGGAGGTCTAGGATCTGTGGTAGATTCAAATAAAGATTGTGCTGCTCTAAATAAAAAAGGGATGTATGGTAGCATTACAGATATTTATTTTTTTTCCACCTGACTCTCATCATCTCTTCTTTGTAGAGAACATCCATCAGTAATCTACTTTTCATCCAGTTTCCCATTTTCCTCTGATAGTGACAAAAAGAAATGTGTATAGCCTGTACCAGTTAAAGAGACGTATTATTGGCTGCCATCCACTTATTGATGACATGGAGATCCATTGCTTTTCACCATCCCCTTCTAATGACATCCTGTAAAATATGTCAAATTGGAGCTTGTGAGATTGCCTAGCAAAGTATGAGAACACCAGGAAAGAGAAGCACTTATCCCTTGCAACAGTTTTTGCTCTCACAGGTTGCAGTGTCAAGTGGCTTTTTTTTTTTTTTTCTTTTCTTCACAATGTCTGTCAGCAGTATTTTTCAGTCATTTCTGTTGCATTGATGCAAGGATGTGAAACCACACATCACTGTTATGTTTTGGGAAATAGGTTGAAGAACTGCTCAGGTGGCAGAATTCAAGGTAGGTATTGGGTGATGTGACCCAGACTGATTTACCAGTTCATTCTGTAGAACAGATTTTCCGGTGGAGTTTTATTGCTGAGCCATTTAGCTTCCTCACAGCATTTCACTCCATTTAAACATCCATGTTTGAAGCAGAGCCAAGCTCCCAAATGAACCTTGTCAGTTACCTAATGTTAATGTTAAAGAAAATGAAATAAAGATTCTTACTCTTGCATGCCTGGTTTGTTAAATGACTCAGTCTGCTTACACTAAAAAAACCAAAATCTGTTTTAAAACATAACATAGAGCAGACTAAGCTTGGATTGTTGTTTTTTTTTTTTTTTTGTTTGTTTGTTTGTATGTTTTGTTTTTGTTTTCAAATACTTCCCTGTAGTCTCTTCTTAATGAATATATTTTGATTTTGGAAGAAGAAAACATTTGAGTGGTTGAATAATTTCACATTTGTTTTTACAAGTATGATGGAGAAGGTGTTATTTACCATCTTCCTCAAAACTCTGAGAGTGTCTAATCACTATTGGATAATCCATAAACATAACATTTTTTCTTCATTTATGCATATCTTTTCATAATCAATCTTCCACTCAGGATGTATGAAATTTAAGCCTAGCTTTGTCACTTACATTCATTCCCTGTGCCATTTCTATATTGTTTCTTTGACTTAGTTATAAATTGATCCACTGCATATGTGAATAGAACTAGAGGTAGTATGACCTTATGTAATACTTAAAAATTTGAGATCATTAGCAGTTAAGATAACTAGGCATTAAAGAGAATATAAAATTAGTTTTACATATTCACAAGGAAAATATACATATTTATTTATGTATTTCTATATTGGCAAACATTATAAGTAGCTATTTGCATTTATGCATATAAATTGCATGGATCCATTCCTTATATACTGAAGTGTTTTCAATGCTTTCATTGTTTAGTTGCTGTAGCTGATAAAAATAGCGCAGCAGATTCTTACTGCAGCACTATTTTTTCCATCAGAAATTCTATGTTCATTACTATTATCCCAGTTTCTGGGTGTTTTGTTTACTAGATGCAGCATAATTATTTGTTTAAATTGTATCATTTAACATTCTACCCTCACCTTTCTCTGCCTGGGGGAGGTTAATCTTAGCCTTTCTATTCCTGGGGGCCAGAACACATATGTTCTCTGTCCCTGTGCAACTGGCATATTTCACTCATTAACAGTTTATTTCAGCTGTGCTGTCTGTTTGCTCTAGGAACTGTGAAGACTTGAGATGCTAATGTACTTTGAGAGACAGAAAACAACTCCGGTTATTCTCTTAAGACTGCCAGGCTGGTAGGAATGTCCTTATAACCTTAGCTTATGTTTTGTTATTTCAGGTTCAATGGATCCAAAGGACTTTCTGAGGGAGGCACAAATAATGAAGAACTTGCGGCATCCAAAGCTCATACAACTTTATGCTGTTTGCACTTTGGAGGACCCAATTTATATTGTTACGGAGCTGATGAAATATGGAAGTCTTATAGAATACCTTCAAAGTAAGCATAGATATGTATAAACTCATTTGAAGGGGTGTCACAGTTTTCAGTTTGGTAAATATGCTTATATGAAAGACAGAAGTACAACACTTGATTTGATAAGAAAAACTACACTATTAGCTATAGTTGGGGATGAGAGAAGAGGAAGAGGTTTATGAATTTTTGACAAAGTATTTGAGAAGTAGAAGAGAATGATATTCAAAGTTTGATTCTTACTATCTGAGACACATTTTTTCACCAGTTCTACAAGTAGATGGGAACACGCATAAACAGAATAAAAAAATAAGCATGGCAAAACACAAAATGGAGGCATTTCCACAAACTGTACTTAACATCTTTGAAATCTATTATCAAGCAGAGATAGTCTTTCCTTGTGAGTTTGTTCATTACTTATGTTATCAAGTCTTATATGAAAAGCACTTAAATGTGCTCTTCTGAAGGCAAATAATAATTAAAAATGAAGTTCTACAGCCTGGAACAGACTAACATATTGATTGCTCTTTAGGTTCACCCTAGCTACTGTGAAATGCCTGATTCCAGTACTGTTCCTCATTTTAATTTACCAGATGACTGAATGTTAAATGTCTCTAAGGCTGTGATGATCTCTTGAAAACAGATCTTCAAGATCTTGGTAAATTTCTTAGTCTCTAGCTCATAGGGCAAAGACCTAGGAACTATTGTAGACACTATTTGGGATAACACACTACTTCTCCCATCCTCTCTGTGGAACAGTTTCTTAAGTAAGGCTCAGTCCACAGACAATTACAGCTAAGGAAATCTCTAGTAGAGGGACAACCTCTTTAGGAATTAAGCAGAGAGGGACTGCAGGGAACTTGGGTCAGATTATCTGAAGGTTTGAGTACAAAAGTAAATACTAATTAGTCAGAGGCTGTGAGGAATAAATTTCCATTTGTATCATATTTGGTGTCTTTATGTGCAGATTGCTGCTTATCTGACCAAAATAGCCTGGCACATCAGAAAGTGATTGCTGTACGTGAGTGAGAACATTTGTTGCATGGGTGAAATAACTCTGAGAAAGCCATGATAAATCACAGCTAACACAGGTGAAAATTGGTTTCTCTTACATGGAGCACAATATCTTTAGGATACATTAGTTCTGCAGCCTATGTGTAAATTAGTTGCCAGCATATGAATAGCAGCTGCCTTGCTGCAGGCATTGAATGTATACAGCCTGATTTGTGCACTTATTCCTGAAATCTTGCACCAGAGACTATTGAAAATCAGTTGGTTTCCAGGCAGCTGTTAATATAACTGTAAAAATGGCCAATACAAACCTAGTGGTGTTTCTCCATTTCTGATGGCCTATGCACTAGGAGATAAAACAGAACTAAGAGGCACAAGCAGAAATTCAGGTACTTTACTAGGTATTGGTCAGAGAACCGACTGCCATCAGTGAGAGTAATAAGAAAGCAGATTTGAAGCTTGAGTAAAGCTCTGTGTCTGGAAGTGATCCACATTGGTTGGAGGTCAACACATTGCTCCTGATAAGCATTCTTGAGACTCAGCCACTTCAAAAGTCAGGACAAATTTCCAAAAGGCTGCTGTTTCTATGTACTCCATGGGTAAAAAAAAGTCCAAGGGAGGGAAAGCCTGGAGATAATTTTTTGGTGAAATTTCAGATGCTTGGTATGTTTTTCCAGTTTTTAAATACCTTGCTATTACATGCACGGTTGTTACCACATTCCACACTAATGACTACAACTTAATAATGATAAGCATGTGAACTCCTTGCACACTGCCATCACCAATATGAGAAAAATGCAACTGAAAACTTCATTATTGAATGTGAATGTAATTGTCATAAATATGTGAATGTGTTTATCAATTCTGATAGACCTGTGTTTTTTTTTCTGGCAAAGACAATGTCTTGAAATTGGAATTATAACCAATGAAATACTCTCAACTGGGCAAATAGTTGTGTATTTCTATGTTTACTGCCAAGATTCTGTAAAAAGAATATTTACCTGTCTTTCCTAAATGAGGTACTGTGATTTTTTAGAAAGTGGTGCAGAACCTGAGCTGTCTTTGATATTTTCTCTGTTAAAATTTTCATAGATGAGGGACACAAAAAGGACACAGAAATGCTATGTTTTCTTTATAGATAAGGATAAGGAGTAAGCCATAAGAAAGTTTTATAAATTCACAAGTAGTGCTTGGTTTTGGATGTGGAAGTTATACTGACTTTGAGTTTCTTTTTGTTGTTATAGTTTTTTCTTCTTTAAAACACTTAAAAAAAACCCTAAAGCACATGTATACTGAGATGAATGCAGCTGCACACTCTTCCAACCTGTTCTGAATCTCACAGATGGAAGCTGGCTCTAGTCTGGAAATTTCTGTAGCAATACTCCTGTAGTGAGGGCAACAGAGCACCTGTGATCTCTTTCACTTCATTGGCACATATGCTGAAGGCTACTCCAGGCACCCACCTGGTCTGGGTTTCCAAAAAGGACCCAAAAGAAGGAGAAGTCTTGCAATAGTAATTCCACATATAAAACTGGATCTTGTCTCTGTCCTTTAACATGGTGCACATGTATGTCCTAGAGGAAAAACAAAACAAAACAAAAAAAACAACACAGAGAATTTAGCAGCTCATTAAACAAGAGAAGTTGTTCTTTCTGCCATGACTATTTTCTCTGAATTGGAGAAAACTTGTGTCAGGCCAGCCTGGAGCATCAGCTCCAGAGCAAGAATGAACCTGTGCTCAAATCTGTCTGTGTCTTAGTTTGTTTTCACCAGGAGGTAGTTTGCAGCCTGAGCAGATGAAGGAACAGTGTGAAAGGGAACATAAAAAGCGGGTTTTCAAATCAACTTGTATAAGCTGTTTTCCAAAACCCATGTACCCATGCAGGTACTGGTACATCTTTAGTTATTTTCTGATTAAATACAACTTAAGATTCATTTGTGGATTTATCTCTGTCCAGCGAGACAAAAACAATTGATGTCTGTCAGTTCTTGGAACTGCAAAACTTCAGAGTGCTTTCTTATTCTGTGTCCTGATGATTATTTTCTTGATGGTTAAGCCATAAATTTTTACAGAGCCTGATTTTTCTCTCTCTCTTCTAAAGGTTAAGGCAGCATAAGTGTGAGAGAGGAAAAGAATATCTGAATCAACAGTAAAAGTAAATAATCTCAGTGGTAGATTGTAATGACAATGAGCTTCGACTTAAAAAGGAAGGAGGACAATACACACAGAGAGCAAACATAATCATTCAAAATTCACTCCTTTTACCTATTTATCTCAGAACATTCGTGAGCAGGAAATTCAAGACCTGGAGATCATGAAACAGATTAGTAAACAATGGTATTTCACACTCTTCATAAGGAGTAACTGCAAGGTTAGGTCAGATAAAATGCCCTACTGGAGGAAGCTATGCAAAACAAAGACACTTTTACTTTGAATCAATTTAAAATATCAGCTATAAATGTTTTATTTCTTTAATACTGAGGCAGTAAGGAAAAGTCATCATTCTCAATGAAAAAATGAGAACTGCGAAGATATGTGGCAGCAAACGCTTAGCTTTTTGTTGTTGCTGTTTAAATTCTGAAACTATTTTGAGTACTGCTGCAGAAGTAGGCACTCACGTTTCAGTGCTGCAGACTTTGGGTTTAGGTGTCAGTGATGCCTCAAGAAAACACTGATTTCGCTTAGCTAGATTACCTTGGGATACAAATTATTTGTTATGATGAATTCATCTGCTCTCAAAATGCCACAAAATCCCTGGTCTTGAATTTTAAAGTGTTATACTCCAGTGACACCTTTTTGTTACCTGTCTTACTATTTATGGCTGCCATTTTTCCTGTTCTATGGACTCTTTATTTGTGGAAACAAGTTTTTCTGCTTGAAGTTCTTCTCCTACTTTGTTTGAACAGCCAATCTTTGATAGCAAATCTCTATTTCTGAGACTTACTGATTTTACAGTAGTGGAATGGCATGCATATTGCTTCAGAAAATTCTACCAGGCAGCTTGAAAGCAGCCTGAAGAGTCCTAGTGTTGAGTAGCAGAAACAGTGATAACAGCATGAAAAAGTTAAGTGGACTGGAAAGTGAAAATGAGAGTTACACTTGACAGCACATGGTGTATTTTCTAGTAAAAGTCATGGGAGAACATTCAGAAGGGCTATTTTTGTGCTTTTCACTCTCTAGACAGCTTTGACTACACCCAGTGTGTATTGACATTAACTCATACTTGCATTTTGGGATGGGTAGGGAACTTGTCAGAATGAGAAACATCTGAACTGCTATCAGCAGATAAGTCTTTTTCTTTGTCACCAACTCCTTGTAAGCCTAGAACAACTAGATATTTAGTATCTATTCTTTCAGGCAAAATAGGACAGTCCTTGTCACTATCATGAAACTAGCTGTATGACTTAAGATAGTGCCATTCACTAATATCTGTCATGTGGTTATTGCACTACATGGTTGCCTTGATTTGTATTGGCTATTTGAACCTGTAAACTGTAATGTGATTAATATCTGAATGCCACAAACATTATCTTTGTCTATCTCTTTTAAAACAGATGATGCAGGCTCCCACATCTCCCTGCCACATCAAATAGACATGGCTGCTCAAGTGGCTTCTGGCATGGCTTATCTTGAATCTCAGAACTACATCCATCGAGATTTGGCAGCCAGGAATGTTCTCGTTGGTGAACACAGTGTTTACAAAGTGGCAGATTTTGGACTTGCAAGAGTTTTTAAGGTGGGTCATGAGAGGATAAATTGACTCCACCTCCGGAGGAAAGTTAGAAGGGGTCAACTAAGGGATATACAGTAGCTTCTAAATTATTTTCTCTCTGCACATGCAGAGAGAAAAGGATTCCTAATGTGTTTCCTTGCATCCTCTACTTGCATTATTCTGTGAAAGGTTAGAAGCCAGCCTATGCCATTCTGTCAATCTGAAGACGGACTCCTGTTATGCGTCTCCCAACCACCAAGGAAGGAACTTGGTATTGGCAGGCAATACCTTTTGCTGCTCAGCCTTTATACACAACACTAGTGTCTGGCACATGGAGAGAGACTATAGGAATTATACTCCTAAGCCTGTAAGAGAAGATATATAAAAATATATTCACAGCTATTTTCTCTGCCTTCATGATGCTTGGGAGTGCAGGTAGCAATCATAAATGGATCTTATTCCTGTGCACAACTAACTCTGAAGCTCATAAAATGTCTCAGACATTTAAATCTGATGCAGTTTCAAGTTCTTTTCCATTATGCTCTGTTTTGTTTTGTTTTTTTTTCTTTTTTCTTTTTTCTCTTTATGCTTTGAGGATGTGGGATACCAAGTAAAGCCGAGGAGGATCATCTCAGCAAAGAGCTATGGGTTAGAAATGAGATTTTCTACTTCTAAAAATTATTTGAGTTGGGAAGACCTGATTTGCTGTATTTTATGGATTTCAATATGTAGCCCATATTTTCTGAACTATTATTATTGCTTTTATTGATTTATGCTCTTCCACTGAGAAGCAAAAACAGATAAAAAAGCCCTCTGCTTCCAATTTGCTTTTTTTTTTTTTTTTCCCCATTCAAGCAGCAGAAATTTAATTTCATATTTATTACATTCTGAACTGTAAAATAATTTATTGACAATAGCTTTCTGCTATACTTTCTGCTTAATTTTTTTTTAGTTTTTTTTCTAGTTGTGCATAAAATTAAACTGTACATTTTTAAACATGAAAAAATATATATTTTTAAATGAAAGGTGCGGACTATAGGTAATATTTTACAGTGGTTGACATTTCTTGTTAGAATTGAACTTCACTATAGAACACTTTCATAGAGTCACCTTGGCAGACTTAGAATATTCTTTCTCTTAAGTCAAAATGCCAAGTGTATCAGTATGTAGACACAAGACACAACGACCATTTGTTCAGTGCTTTAGGTTATTGGAGCTGAAAAAGACTTTCTATATTAAAAAAACAAAACCCAACCCCCCAAATTAGTGTATACATTTGCCTGAATTTGTATGTGAAAAACTTAACAGAGACTTGAATGTGGCTGATGAACATTAAACTGCATTTAAAAATAAAGAAGAGGATAAATATTCACAAAGTCTAGGTGTCCATGCTATAAAACTTTAAGCAAATGATTTTACTACCAAGTAAAATTAACTCAAATTTAGAAGCAAATAATTTTCCTTTTTTCTATCAGTATTTCCTCTTCATTTTGAATGAATTAATTGCAGCCCTTATAAGCTAACGCTAATTTGAATCACTCAGAGATTGTTCTTTGGTTCTGAAACCTGTTTAACTGATTGTTATAAAAGATAATGGCCCTTCAACACTGAAATAAATCAAAGAACAAAGGTTCCGAAATTCATTAGCTCTTGCTCTTCCCTTCTCTCTTTACTGATGACAGACATTTGGTCTCTAGCGTCAGCAAGATCCATACACTGCCACTTCTGACAGACTTCTGAAATCTTGCATGCCAGATCCAGAACTCACAGTAGCGGGTTATAATTAATCACAAACCACTCCAGTGCTGCATTCTTGCTTGAAATGATAAATGCTTTAGAAAGACCTCCAATGAACAATAGCATTTCTAAACTGTAGAGCCCAATTCAACAAAAGACTTCTGTAAGTGCATGCTTTAATACCGTGAAACGCAAACATTTATTAAGTTTAAGCATAAGTTTAGCTTGATCAGGTGCTTAAGTGCTTTGCTCCTAAATCAGGCTTCTTTGTTTCACCCATGACAGGTAGAAAATGAAAACATATATGAAGCTAGGCCTGAAACAAAACTCCCAGTGAAGTGGACAGCCCCTGAGGCAATCCGCTATAACAAATTCAGTGTTAAGTCAGATGTGTGGTCATTTGGAATACTTGTCTTTGAAATAATCACATATGGGAAGATGCCATATGCTGGTAAGTATTTTTTACCTACTGAATAATTTCTAGTTGCTATCTTGCTTTAAGGATGACATAAAAAAGTTAAATGCTTGTTCTACAAGTGAGTTGAAGGGTTTGAACCTTTCTGTAAATATAGAAAAGTGGCTGTTCAGATGAGATCCATTCATTGGCAGACCTGGCTACCCTAGGCTTCCTGGAAACTTACCAAGGGGTGTAATTGGCAGCCATTCAAGCTTCCTCTTGATTGAGTCAACCTGCATTTCACATACACAGAAGACAATTGCTTATTTTCATCCAGCACCTCATCAAAAATGCTGTAATTTGGAAAAGGGGAAGACTTTTTGCCCCCACTTACTTGCACCCTTGCTTTTCTTCTTCTGTGAACATCATGTGAAAGAATAGACTATCAGGGGTGAAATACTGCACAGGTACTTCAGGAAGAAGACATCAAAAAATGAATTGGAGTGATTTCACTCCCTTCCTTCATATTTGACTATTGCAGTGGAAAGTTTTCATAAAGAAATAAATCAGAAGAACTAGGAATAAAATTTCACCAAACACAAAAGTAGATTCAATAGTGTGGAAACAGCCAATATACCTAACATTCTGAGGTGTGCTCAGGGAACACTGGCTCCAGTAACACTAGATATTAGTGAAAACAACTGACTGTGACATATTTTGTGCTGGTGAGGAGAAAACAAGGGCAAGATTGAAGCAAAAAAAAAGAGTTATGCTTTATCCTGACCTGGCCTTTAAGCTGATACATTCACCATAAACTACATTTCATAGAGTCCCACAGTGGTATTTACCATAAAGGGAAAAGTTGATTTTGCCTTTTGATTCCCACCCTTCTCACCTCCTGTGAAGGCATGTCGGGGAAAAAAAACCCCACAAACCCAAAGCCTCAAATCCTCAACTCATTCTCATGTAAATTATGTATGCACATATACATGTAAAAAAAATTATTCAAGTATAAATGATATATAACACCATGATTCTCAGCATTGTCTGAAAATATGCTTAGCAAAGCACACATAATATGCCTTGGCAAAGGCATAGTTTCCTTTAACTTCATAGTAGAAATAGTTATATGCTTTCTTGATATTACTTTCAGGAGCTTGTTCTTAGTAATCAGCTAAGAGATAAGGTTATGTTGAACCATGGTGGCAATGGCTAATGTAAAGAGGAAATATAATTCAGAGATCTAAAAAAAAAGAAGTAAAGATTACACAGCTGAGGATTTAGTTTAAAGAGTAGAAAATTGAAAAGGAATGGGACAATAGCCTTAATACAAGAAAGGTATAGCAAAGATAAGGGAATTTCTTCTTCTCCATGACCCACAGTGATAGAGCAGGATGCCACAGGATAACTGCCCCACAGGAAAATTAGGACTGATGTTACTGAGAACTTTCCAAATGTGAGGAAAATTCAAAAGCAGGACAGATTTTCTTGGGATGTTTTGGAGCTGCTGAAAGCAGAGGGATTTATCTTTAGCTTAATTTTAAATAGGTATCAAAATAATTCAGGCAAAAGCTGGTAGTAGAGCAGAAGCCTCTCACCCAGACAAATCCATTTGAAATGGGTATTGGCAGTTAGAGATGAAGGGCCTGGAATGCGATGGATGTGCTCTTAAACTGCAGGTTTGGCACCTCCAGTGGTTTTTGTGGCCTTTTACTGATGCACAGAACCTGCTTGCTCCCAGCTCTGCCCTTAGTGGTCCTGCAGGTGGGGAGTGAGATCCATTGTCTTGTCTCAGTGGGAGACAGGGACACACAGGTAATCTGATTAATTCTTTCTGCCTTGAAATTTTGGCAGGCATGCCAGGACACCAGGTAATCCAGATGCTGGACAAGGGATACAGACTCCCTCAGCCTGAGACCTGCCCGAAAGCGCTCTATGAACTGATGCTGAAGTGCTGGAGTACAGAGCCCAGTGAGAGACCCACTTTTGAGGCCTTGTACTGTCAGCTGGAGGACTACTTTGATAATGACTCCTATATGGACAGGCATGCCACCATTAAGTGAACCCCAAGGCAGGGACAGAGGACGAAGTGTAAGTGAACGGGACTGAAGGGAAACCAATTTAACCCCAGATGGGGAGCTGGATGTGAAGATAAGGAGGACTGGTACATTTTCACACCTGTGCTGGCACATGAAGACACATCATGATTTTACTGGTGGCAAATGTTTTGCAAGACTAAGCATCAGGAAGCAGGAAAGGTGGGGGCTTCTAAAATATAAACAACCTTCTATTTATTTTTTAAATAACAGCTCACAAGAATGAATAAATGACAAGTCTGGTTCAATAAAACCATAGCAATTTATAATTTCCTTATTGGAATAATTACGTATTTACCATTTCTTAGATTTTTGATCCCTACTAGTTTGTCCTTGTGGAGAAATTTGATTACTCTGCACAGCAGGATCTGTGCTATGAAAGTTCTCTTACACTAAAAAAATACAGAAATTTCATGACTGTGATGATGTTGAAATCTAGATTAGTTGCCTTGCTTAGACGTGAAGTACTCATGCTTTTGCTGTATCAGAAAATAAAAGAGATGTTCATGTGAGGAGGAATTATTTTCATATTTGGATGTGAACAGTGATTTTTACTAGTTTGTATAATGTTCTTCTTTTACAACAATAAACACAATTATTAGTACATTCCTGAAGTGGTTTGTTTTAAATGTTAGTATTTGACTTACTGTCATCTATTGAAGTGTAAGGACTTGTTTTTTAGTTCTAAAGACTGGGAATGTTGGAGAAAAAAAATATTCAAAGTTTAAATCATGACTGCCTTAGCTTTTTAGAGTTATCCTTCACCTATGTCAGCATTCCTCTCCAACAGGCCCATGGCAGATGTAGGTATTTTGCAGAAGAACTCACAATCCATGCTTCCATCTTCTCCAGATATAAGTTTAATATAGGAGATTTAAATAATTGATCATCTATTTTATTCTGTTCCATGGGGAAATAGGACCCAGATGTTTCTGCAAGCAATCTTTACAGCTATGGATTTCAGAAGCTTTTTTTTTTTTTTTTCTTCCCAGATTTTCTAATTAACTTCAATATCAGTTTTGCTAAAATTTAATATCGCTATGACATTTTTATGTTCTCAATTGTGAGGTTTAGAGAACCAAATTTCAATTATTTACTTATGATTCATCAGTTAATTATTTAACAGCATAATCTAGAAGTTAAGAGCTGCTCAGTGTTAGCATACTTTGAACTTAGTACAAGTGTGTTACCATTTTTCCTCTAATATCAAGAAAGGGTATAAATAAAAGATTCATTACTTTAAAGGGGTATGTCTTTTATTACCTCTTTTCTTTATCATCCCTTTTCTTCACTTTATACTTCAGATTCATTCATCTCAGTTCCTTGCTTCCAATTTTTAATTTCCTTTTCCTCTCCTCTACTTTTGGAAGGCAGAATTGCTTTTTTTTTTTTTTTTTTTTTTCTTTCCACACACATCTTTATTCTTTCTACCCAGAATACCTTTTCTTATTTATGTCTTCCTCTGTCTTGTAGAATTTCTAGTGTTCACCTACATTTTTGTTCAGTGTTTCTCCTAGCATCTCTCTATGTACTAATTAAATTTGTAAAGAATTCAGCAGTAATTAATTAGCTGTCCCAACATTTGTACGATTTTGGAAAGTCATTACCACTCTGAAAGAAGAAGTGAAATGGCTTTGCCAAATCCATCCTGATAAGAATTGGCATGGCATTATCTGAGACAGACATAGGGAAAGTCTTGTGCAGTAATAACATCCTGGTTTGTTTCTAGACTTATGTTAACTACTGGCTCCTGGTCCAAGCAGGATATTATTTATGATATCAAATCTCCATCAATCCTTGTTTCTCTCTTCTAGCCAGGAGCTGTATTTAGCCCTGTTACAATATGAGGTTAGCAAATCCCATGGGGAAGTTTTATACAGTAAGAGTAGGAACACAGTTATTCAGTAAGACCTATGCATTAAACTTTCAATCTTGATGTACAGGCTCTAATTTTTTTTCAGACTGGGAACATTAAGAATATTGCAAAGAAAGGTAAAGTTTTCCCAATTAAAACAAAAAAGCTGATAAAAGAAGTATAAACCTTAAAAAGGCCAGAAAAGTGCATTTCAGAGGAGACCGTCTTTCTTTTTTTTTTTTTTCCCAAAGATGATTTGTCAGGAAACAAACAAACTAACTGCAGATGTCATAGGGAAACAGCAAAGGTTTCAGAATTTCAAATTTAACAATTTGTCAGAATGCTCTGTGGTGGCTTCTGTCCTCAGGTGGAGACAAAAAGGATTTTGTAGCAGTGTTAGCTGAAAGCAGGAGGTAGATTCACTTTGATAAGTCTCATTATAGATATCACATCAAATGAATTTATTTGTTTTCAGCTCTGAAGCAATATTTGGCTCCTCCCATTTGATATACTGTAGGTATACCTCACTTCTATTGCCAGCGACCAGCCAAATTTTTTTTCTTAGCAGAAGAGAAAATCAGGGAAAGGCAGGAAGACATGTAAGTGACGAAGCCAAAATGTTCATTTTTCTCCACTAAATTGCCCTGAAAGAGTGTGGTGTTTGCTAGAGCAGCTTTGCTGCCCTCGACAAGTAAGGTGAGGCAAAACTTATAATCACAGATGTTACTATGAAAAGCAGTGATTTGCCATTCTGGCTTCAATTTATGTGTTTGCATTTGCTTCCTTATTCTGCCTGACCCTAAAGCCAGCCCTTGTTGCACCAGTGAAATGCCTCCTCACTAATTTGAGATTTAATTTTTCACCTCCTTTTTTCCCCTGGGCTGACAGAGGAACAAAGGAGAGAAAAATCATCAATGCAGTGGAATCAACAAAGTACTGGAAATAGAGTGTAATGTGAAAAATTAAACATTCTTTTCCTCAGCTCTTTCTCTCCATGTATTTGCAGTCAGATGGATCCATTACCAGGAAAGAGAGGAGGAAGAAGGCAGCCAAGGGTAATGAACCTTCATAGAGTTCAATTTGCTTATGGGCAATGTAACAAGCAAAATTATTATTTTCCAAGTCCAATCCATTCTACAATCAATCATTTTATTTATACAATAGATAACAATTATAGTCAGAAGTCTTTTCTATGACTTGACTTAAATTAAGGTTATCATTTCCAGTTATAGTGCACAGTCTGATAGGTTTAACTTATTTCATTTTGAAGCCTCTTATTTTCAAGGTTCTGCCAGAGCCATCTATTGCTTGTTTTTACCTGATGGATCATGGAGGGATGGATCATGGAGGGAAAATAATGGATTCAGTTATGAGAAAGAGTAACAGATTTTTTTGAGCTGACATAAATTCCTATGTTTAGATAGCATAAAAGGATCAGGAAGAGATAAGTTGAATTTTCTTCAATAGACCAATTCTTGAGAAATACACTTCACATAAATTGTACTGAGACATCTTTATGTAATGTTTTATTTATGTAATTCAGTTATTCTTTGAGAACTAAATCATTTTACACAGTCTTACAAAAGATAACTTAAAAATTCCCAACCAGAAAGGAAGAATATATATTTTTTAAATGCTCAATTTTTCAAGAAGTTATGGAGCACTGCAATTGCATTTTGATCTCTATTAAAGACTTTCTGGTTTTTAATTCTGACTCCTATCGGACAACACTTTCTTGCCTTATTTTTATTCCAGCACATACAGACATACAAAACACACAATAGAGCAATAGGAAACCTTCCATCACTCATATCTCATACTTGTCCCCTGAATGCTTTGACTACAAGCAGCAATTTTCTTTCTGTGGATTTGTAACTTATATTATGCAAGGAAATAGACCATCAGAGTTCAACATTTCATTGTGGTGTAGACTCAGTAAACTATCTGTGCATCAAAATGAAGCATCACTCATTTAAATGATTTCCTCCTCATACTTTTCTGTGCGCTACTATTTTATTCATCTAAAGTGGTGTAGACTCCTGTCTACCTAGCGTTCCCATGGCCACTGCAACTCACTTTTCAGCTATTTGTAGTGTATGGATCTTGGAGAAGGTAAAACTGCTGAACAACTTTTCTCTTACAGATACAGAATTTTGATAAATATCTAAGAGAGCTGTGTTGGCTCCTGTTCTGTATGTTAACATCTGGAATTATATATTCTTCAACATGTGACTGATCTCAGCCTCAGTTACTTGTCACAAATCTTGCTTAGAAGAATTCTGTATACACTTGAATGAAATGCTGAACTGTGAAGAAGACTTCCAGTCTATCCGCGCTTACTATTCCCGGATACATGTAATCAATTTTTCAGTTTCAGGCCTTTCAGAAATGACAAATGAATATATAAATATGAGAAATGACATATGTAAGCAAGCTGGGGAAATCAGTGAAAAGTACTTAGGCATTTTAACCTTCAAAGCCAAATTGTACTGAACAATTCACTCCTTTATTAAGTGGTAGATAACACTAAAATACATAGTTGAAGAATTCAGCATTCAAGAAATGAATTCTAACCAATTTCTGTATGTACATATCACTATAACTGAAGAACTCAATAAAAATTGCACCTTGCTTCCTATCAGTATTTTCAACAAAGTAAATTCTATTAAAATTAGGCAGATATGTGAGAAGAGAGGTGCATAGCAACACATTTGTTTCTTTACATGGAGATCCCCCTTTGCACCCTCCTTCCTGTTCTTTATCATTGTTATTACAGGAGGATTAGAAGTCCCACAGAGTAAAAGGACCTCTTACTTATGCTAAGAATAAGAATTTTTCTTTCCTAAAGTAAAAAGAAAGAAAAAAGAAAAAAATAAATTAAAAGCTAAGCCCTGAACACTTTTCTAAAAACTACCTTTCAAAATAAACAATAAAACCAATCAACAAAATCAACCAACCAAAAAGAAAAAAGAGAGGGAGAGAGAGAGAGAAGGAAATAAAGAAATAACAAAGAAAAAGAAAAAAGAAATGTGGGAAGTTTATCATTCTTTTACAATCATCCATATTTTCTGAAAATAGATGGGAAAATTATTTCAGAGCAAAGTTGCTGCTGAATTTAGACTCCTCAAAAAAGTTGGTTGTACTATTTACACTATAAAAGAAAAGAAAATTATTGCATTGTATTCTTTTGTCTAATTACTTTGTTTTAAGTATTTGAATACTGATTGGATTTCTGTCTTTTGATGTGCTATAGAATACAAATATATATACATAGAAATATCAAAACATACTTATTCTAATTTCCTGTCTCTGTAGCTAGATATGTCTCTCTGCTTAGAAAAACAGATTTTTGTAAGATGGTCACATATGTTTTTCCACATAATTTTTACTCTTTTTTTTTTTCTTAACATTTAAAAATTTTCTCTCCCAAACAACAAAACCTGCTGGTATTCCAAAGTAGTCTATTACTCTGCCAATAATTAAAAATGACCAGCAATAGAATGCAATGCATTCAGCTTTTTCATTCCACCAGACAGCTTCTTAGAAACAAATATCCATCTATTGTATGCTATTACCAGAATATCAGTTCCACATTTCTCTCAGAAACCAGAAGAAGAAAACCTTAACTTTCAAGTTCTTCTAGAACCCCTAGAACTCTAG